TGGCATCACAAAAAACCCCACCAGTAGCAACAAAAGCCTTCCAAAACACACTATTTTGGAACCTCCTTTGTAGAAATTGGTACCCTTCTGTACAGATGGCGTTCAGTCCTGGGAGCCCTTGGTGCCTTTTCCTACATCACTCCCTGTGAATGGCAGCTTGCTAAAGGGGAGGGCTGACTTAGATGTTTATATTAATGAAAAATCACTGTGAATGACTTTGTTCTGTGTGGTGAGCTCCCTGTGAAATACGGATTTCATTTCAAAGCCATGTGTTTTTTACCTGTATTTAAAGCTCTTTTTCTTTCCCTGCCTGGGGAACTGAGTGGTGTGGGAGCTGTTCTCAGACAGTGAAGGACGGTGCTGCTGCTGTGTGCTGTTTATCCTTGCCCTGCCTGCCTGTGTATCTGTCTGGATGCTTCTGAGCCTCTGCATGCCCAGAGGCTGCTCGATGGATCTCAGCCTCGTTGTTCAGACCCATCTCATCAGGGATTGAAGGAAGGACTGGGGTGAGCTGGACACTGGAGCCATGTCTGCTGCCATGTCAGCGTCTTTGCTCAGCAGCTCTCAAACCATAGTTAATTCCTGGACTCAGGGTCTCATTGTTGGAAATCTATTGCTTCTAATCAGTCTGACCTGAGTTCAGAACATGGCTCCCATTAATGGGAACACAAGAGGCAGTTGGCATAAGACTTTACAGTACCTCTTTCCTCAGAACATAATGACCAAAGCTGAGAAAAATTGAGCAACGTTGATAACTTTGTTACCTTGAAATGTAACATTCTTGTTATATCAACAGTGGTTATTTTGCTGGTGATGGCTCCTTGGGTTCCACTGTTCTGTCTTACCATATTATATCCTATCCTAGGGCATATCCCTTTATTAATCAATTGCGTTCTCTCTAGCCACCCTTCTTGGCATAGGTGATGGAGGTTTGATGAATGAAAGGACCCAAATAGGCCAGGGAATCCCCCTAGACCTTGATGCTCATGAAGGGATTGGGAATGGGTTATGTAATTGACCTCAATCTTTTGTTCCAGAAAAAAAAGATGAGCTGAGATGGATGACTGCTACAGTGCTGTCCCTAGCTGTGTCCTAGTAACTCTTCAGAATTGAATAGTAACAGTTGGAGGACAGAAAATTGTATCCTCTTCCGGTATTCCTTTGGACTCAGGTCTAGCATTTGAGACGATTGTATTTGAATGAAGAATTTTATCTGAACACAGGGAAGGACAGTGGGGCAGATTTACTGAAGTCTCAGGTTAGCTAGGCTGTGAGAGCAAGGGATAAAGTATCTGTTGCATATGACAAGTTTGCCTAAGTCTTGCATGTAGCAGAAATGATTTCTTTTGGGGGAGCTTATGCAATTGTGGTAACCCAGTGGTATCTTCTGTTGCTGTTGGGGTCCAGATGGCTACTACTTTGAAGAGGTGGTTCGAAAGTCGGTTGTAGTGATGTGTGTGTGTGTGTGTGTGTGTGTATACCTGAACTTGGAAGGCTGAGGTGAGAGGATCACTTGAGTCTGGACATTTTAAATTGGTAGGGGCAGCAAAGGAGACCCCCATCTCAAAATAGAAAGTTTTAGTGCCTTAGATGGCAGGACCACGAACCCACTGTGGATAAACAAAGCATGCAAACACCAGTGTTAGCCCCATTGCCTCAGCAGGGTCAGGAGTGATCACATAGACCCAGACATGTGCCGCCTGTCATTTTTGTTTGACACGCTTTATTGTTTAGACTGGGTGTGCCCCTCTGTATGTAGCCTGGAGCTCAGGACAACCCTGCCTCAGTCTCTGATTGCTGGGATTACAGGCATGAGCCACCAAGTCCAGTTTCCTTTTATACTCTTGATAACTTGAAAATGCTGAAAGCAGTTGCTTTGAACTTTGGGGCAGCGTGAACATTGCTGTGTGACAGATTGCCCCAGTGTGAACCTCAGCGCCTGTTAAAACCCACAGTGGCCATACTTTCCATGTCTCTGGAATTGATACTGAAATAACAAGGCCAAGAAACTACTAGATGAGTTTTAGCCTGTGGGTGATGCCTTAGTGTTAATTTAGATAACATATTTGTCATTTGTACTTAGTAAATGTCAATGGATATTCAGGAAGAACAAAATTATCAGAGATGGCTGTTTGCCATGGTCTTCCCCTACCTTTCTGTAAGAAAAAGTGATGCTGTGTATTTTTTTATTATTATTATTATATGGCTTGTAAATAGTCACAATTTTAATAAAGTTTTGTATGTTGTATTGTCTTTTTAAATTAAAATGCTTCAATATTTGGTTTGTGTGTGTGTATATAAAAGTGTATGTGAGTGTGCTCATGTTGGGCACACGTGTGAACATCAGAGGATAACTTGTATGACTCTGTCTCTCTTCCCACCATGTGTGCTCCAGGGATGAAACTAAGGTCAGCAGGCACAGCAGCAAGTTTTCTTGCCCACTGAGTCTCTTTTTTTTTGTTTTTGTTTTGTTTTGTTTTGTTTTTCGAGACAGGGTTTCTCTGTCTGTAGCTTTGGTGCCCGTCCCGGAACTAGCTCTTGTAGACCAGGCTGGCCTCGAACTCCCAGAGATCCGCCTGCCTCTGCCTCACGAGTGCTGGGATTAAAGGCGTGCGCCACCACTGCCCGGCCCCACTGAGTCTCTTAATGAACATTTTTGTGTGCATCTTATACTTTCAGATAATTGACAGTACATCAGTCTCGTATTATGTATTTTCCTTTTTTGTAACCAGACCTCTCCTGAGTATTGGTTTTACTATTTTGGAGCAGGGCGAGGGTGGCGGTGGTGGAGTTGAGACTTTTATGAGGCCCAGGTTGGCCTTGAACTCCCTATTTTCCCTATCAGCCCACGGAGGGCATAAGCCACCACTGCCAGCAAATTTTAAAAAGTTACTTTAGCCAAGTGGTGGCATTGCATGCCTTTAATCCCAGCACTTGGGAGGCAGAGACAGGCAGATCTCCTGAGTTTGAGACCAGCCTGGTCTACAGAGGAAGTTCATAGGCTCCAAAGCTAAAGAGAAACTCTTAGAAAGAAAATAAAATAATTGGCTGGGAGGCTTGAATCAGTGTGATCAGATGAGTGTCAGCTGTCAGAATGTAAGCTACATAGACAGTAAAAATCCCTGTGTTTCCTGTATGGTTGGGCTGAGTCTGGCAGAGTCATTTGTATACTCATTCCTACATCCCACCGAATTCCTTTACACCCATTGTATGGAGTACAAGCTTGTTCACTTTTTCAGGGTGGCTCATACTCAGGGATTCCGCTAGCCATAGGCTACCACTGAGCCATACTTTATCCCCGTGTAGATAGGGACAACAGAAGGTGATTAGGGGTTAGCTTGGTGTCTGGAAAGCCGATGACAGTGCTGTACCAACCTGCCCTAGTTCAGGACGGTGGTCGTCCAAATTCCAGCTGACTTGGGTGTGTGTGCTCTACATTCCCCCCAGCTCTTCCCTAGTTTTTATGTAGGGTGAAGGATGCGGCACTAGCCTGCCTCTGCCTTCCCAGTGCTGGGATTAAAAGTGGTACAATGCCCAGCCACAGATGGAGATTTACACCTCCAGGTATATAGGAGCCCACTGGGGGCGGGGTCCCAGGCAGGTCAGCGTGGTTGGCAGCAGGAGCTGAAATTTATCATTGTTTTGAAACCAAAGTGCCATCTTGTTTTAAAGCATGCAGTAGGCACTGAGTGAGTGAGAAGAGGAAGCAAGCCCCAAGCAATTGCAGACTTTAGCCCTGAGAGCAAAGGCCCAGGTTCTAGTGCCAGCTGTGGAGATTGGCAGTGGTGTGGGTCTGGGAAAGTTTCTTACTCTAGGTCTGGTTCTTCACCAGAAAGTGGGATCAGCGGTCACTCTGGCTCTGACACAATGACACTGCCCCACCCCCCATAATAAGGGAATATGTTTTGATAACCACTTTTGCTCAGCTTTCTCTTTACCTTGCTGTCCTCCCTTCAAATAGATGTAGTAAATCAATAAATTATGTAAGGGCAGGTTGAAAGTGGGACTGCTGATGGATCAAGCTTATGCAGAGTGCTGCCCGAGCGATATAGCTCGGACCTTGGACCAAGCAGCAAAAGCTGAGAGTTGGGAAATAGTCTCCACGTCAGTTAAGTGGTACAATTACCTAATTTTCTCTTCTTGCGTGTATCTGAGAGAAGAGAGCAGGCAGAGGGGCATGCTGTTTAGGAATTTTCCTGGGTGGGTGAAGGCATGTTGGGAAATTGGATTTTAGAAGCTTTTACCTGTCTGGGGAGCCATTTTCTGCTAATGCCCAGGAAACAGCATCTCTGGGTCTTATTTGGCATTCTACTGATGAGAAGTGATTACAGTAGAAACCTCAGAACTTAGACTGCAACCTTCTGTAGACAAGATTGAGAAGTGTGTGCTGTTCCTGGTTCCTTATGTTCATAGCTGTGGAACTGGGGCACAGGTGTCATATGTAACCACAGTGCCTCTATTTTCCTGTGGAAGGAAGCATCTATATTGCCTGCCTCACAGGGTGGGGCTACTCATGATGTGGGTGTTAGGTCCATGAAATGTAAGGAGCCACAGCTCTGACTTTATCTGTGGGTCTCTATAGTGAGGTCTCACTCAGGGAAAGAGAAGTGGGCAGGATTTGGAATTTTGCTACTTGGCCCTCCAGGCAATCTGAGAGTTTCAGGGCTCCCAGGAAGATAGAAAAGGTAGCTTTAAGGGAGATATTGTTTCTCTGCTAGGAAGACCCCCCCCCACCCCCAGCAAGCTTCCATCCATGGCAAAATTCCCAACCCTTTCTTGGAAAATCTTTTCCTTGGCTACAAATTGTTTCTTTTGCTCTTATTTCCAAATTCTTGGAATCATGGAACATGATTATTAGAGCCCCTCAGCAACAGACAGATAACTTCTGCCTAAATACACGGAGCCTGGGCATCACAGGCTTGTGAAGGGTTAAGGGAGCCACACCCTCAGCAGGAACAGCCCTGGACTTTGTGCTGAGCAGCCTTCTCTCTGGCCTCTTCTGGCCTGAGCGGCACCAGGAGACTGAAGGAAGCAGCACAGAGGAAGGACGGACGGGGGACACCTGGCTTCACTGACACCATGGACAGCTCCTGCTAGCTAAGACACCTCTTCACACTTGCCATCTGTGGCCGGCTCACCCCCTTCCCGTCAGACTGGGACTCCACACCCCAATTCTCCAAGGAGCATCAAATTATATCCTTGTTCCGGTGTTGGGTGAGTCCTGCCTTGACCTGTGTCACCTTGGGATGCCACTTCTGGGATCTGTTTCTGTTTCTCCTTTCTCACCACCAAATAGACATTTTGTTAACTTCTCTCAGTACCAACTCAAAGATGTGTTCTCTACCCTGCTTCACACCCTTTCCTGCCAAGCGGTTTCAAAGGCGCGCGCGCTCTCTCTCTCCTTCCTCTCCCCCTCTCCCCCTCTCTCATGTGTGTGTCTCTGTCTGTCTCTGTCTCTTGTGTGTGTCTCTGTCTCGTGTGTGTGTCTGTCTGTCTGTCTCTCTGTCTCTGTGTGTCTGTCTCTCTCTCTCTCTGTGTGAGTCGAGACTAGATCTTTGCACTTCAGGCTGGTCTGGAATTCTGTGTAGCTCAGGTTGGCCTCAACTTACGGCCGTCCTCCTGCCTTGGCATCTTGAATATTGGCTACTGACATTTAATCTGAAATATAAGGGATAATTAAAGTATCGGCTTCACAGGCTATTGTAACTGTCAAGTTCCAGTGTTTAGAGCCCCGCCTGGCCTGTGATAATGCTGCAGGTTTCCCAGAGGCTGCTGGTATCAGTATTCACATTGCAGTCTAGGTATTTAGGAAGTTGTTGGAGCTTGGGGAAAACAGAATGGAGGGGAAAGAAGGCCGGGTCCCTTCCTTGCCCCATCTGCTATTCCTGCTCTTCTTCTAGGTTCAGAGAGGCAGGAGAGCAGGGGAATGTATTCTGTTCCTGCTTGGGAGGGGCACCGACCATTGTACTAATTCCACCACCCCGCCTACTCAGTCTACCTGAAGAGGGCTGGATTCTTCCTAAAGAAGCACCTGCTATATGCCTGCTGCATGCAGCCCAGCCCACAGCCCTCCCTGTAGCACCCCTCCCTGCCCACTTCTACCAGCTACTAAAGAATGGGGTGTGCCTTCAAGCAAAGGTCACACCAGAAGATGATAGGAATGGGTATACAATCTGAAGATTTTACAATTAAAGACAGAGCAGGAGGGACAGCTAGACAGACCTGACAGCTGGGGAAACAAATCCGCTTCCATGTTCTATGGGGAGTTCCAATGTTTTGTGGAGAACTGTCCATAATCTTGAACTCCTCACCTTGTCCAACGTCATCTAAACATGAACTTCACTGTGGTTACGAGAGGAGGGAGAGACCTCTGGACACAGGCATTGTGGAGGGATTAGGTGACTGAAGCGGGGGTTGGGGTTGAGTACAAGCACTGGGCAGGCAGCCAGGGAGTACGCCCTGAAGAGGGAGGGCGCTTCCAGCACCTGGCTGAGGAACAAAGCTTGGCTCACACTTCCTTCAGCCCTCTTCCCTATCTACTGCCTACTGATACCTCCCTTCCCCAGGTGGGTGGGCAAACATGGGCCTACCTAACGACCCTCTCACTCATACTCAGTGGTCAGAGGGTCCTTCCACCTCCCTAACTGGCCAGGTTGGTCCAGAGGCCCTTTTGACTAGAGGGCTCTTGTAGGCTCTTCTGCACTCTTCTCCTCCCACCATGACTTAGCCCTTAAGCTGAGCAAGCAGCCGCAATTTACTATGTTTGTGCCTAGGATCTCAACCCTCTTGACATGTCTCTTCTGGAAGGCCAAGTGGGGGTGGAGGACCTTGTCCTCCTGGAACCCCTGGATGAGGATTCTCTGATCAAGAACCTCCGGCTCCGTTATGAAGAAAAGGAGATTTATGTGAGTTCACCATGGTTGCCAGATGGTGGGGTGCCCAATGGGTCCCAGTTTTCCTCCAGCCATGCTCATCTGCTTCCACCCCTCCTGACCCCAGACCTACATTGGGAGTGTGGTGATCTCAGTGAATCCCTACCAGTCACTTCCCATTTATGGCCCAGAGTTCATCGCCAAATACCGGGACTCCACTTTCTATGAGCTGAAACCCCACATGTGAGTAAGGGGACCAGAGCAGAGCCGACAGAGCTCTAGCCTGATGTCTGTGAAACATCCTGATTCCCCACCCCTTCCCCTGAAGAAGGCTCTCCAGCATCCTTCCTTCCTAAGAATCCTTCCTAGGCCTGCCATTGTGGCCTAATCTCACCCTCAGAGGAGGGTGGATGAACCTAGTGCTATGGGTGGAAAGATGCTCTCTTGGTCTGGTCTCACACTGGCTGTTGTCTTCTTCCTTCCTGCAAGCTATGCTTTGGCCAATATGGCCTACCAGTCACTGAAGGATCGGGACCTGGACCAGTGTATCCTCATCACAGGCGAGAGTGGAGCCGGGAAGACAGGTGAGGAGGAACTGGGGAATCGTGTCTGGAATCGTCTCTTTCTCCCTCCAAGCAGGCCTGTTGCTGTGTTCAATCCCCTACTTACTTCCTCTTTAGTTTTTGTTTCTTTCTTTTTTAGAGATTTATTTTATCTGTATGCCTGAATATATATATTGCACTACATACATGCAGGTGCCTGAGGAATCCAGAAGAGGGTGTCAGATCCTCAGGAACTGGAGTCTAGGTGGTTTTGAATCACCTAATGTGGGTGCTGAGAACTCAACCTAGGTTTTCTACAAGAGAAGCAAGTAGCTAGGTGGTGTTGGCACACACCTTTAATCTCAGCACTCAGGAGGCAGAGGCAGGCAGATCTCTGTGAGTTTGAGGCTAGCCTGGTCTACAGAGTGAGTTCCAGGACAGCCAAGGTTACCCAGATAGGAAAAAAAAAAGAGCAAAGTGATCCTAACCATTGAGGCATCTCTCCTATTGCTGTGGTGTGAGGAGTCAAAGTTCGGGAGATGGAAGTGGGAATTCCCTGACCAGGGACTCTGTGGTACTGAAGGGTGTGGGAGTAGGTATGCCCTGGCTGGGGACTCAGAGCATCTTGTACACAGAGGCGAGTAAGCTGGTGATGTCCTACGTGGCTGCCGTATGTGGAAAAGGAGATGAGGTGAACGTTGTGAAGGAGCAGCTGCTGCAGTCAAACCCAGTGCTGGAGGGTGAGCACCCTGGGTCCCACTCTGTCTACCCCCCAGTCTCTGCACCCCTTCCCAGTCCTCTGCCCTAGAAGGTCTTCCAAAATCACTGAAAAAAAATCCACGTGATTGGTTGGTAGACTGGAGGGAGTGTCCCACAGGCTTCCCTCCTCTGGAGTCTAGCTCGCTCGCTCGGGAGCTGCAACCCTCTCATTTTCCCGCCCTTCGTTTCCACAGCATTTGGCAATGCCAAGACCATCCGCAATGACAACTCCTCTCGATTCGTAAGTGACCGCATCTGCCCAGGAGGAAGGGGGTGCTGCGGAGGGTGAGCGGGGCAGCACAGACCCCTCCCCACAGGTGGTGAGACGAGAAGGAGATCCAATGCTCTCTCTGGTCTCTCTCTGAAGGGAAAATACATGGATATTGAGTTTGACTTCAAAGGATCCCCCCTTGGCGGTGTCATCACCAACTGTATGTGTCCCCCTCCCCGTGCCTCACCAACACTCTCCCACCTGCCAACTCTGTCCCCCTTTGGCCATCTGCTTCTTCAGGCAGAATGACCGTTAGATGGCAGGAAACTTCCCAACCTTTGGGAACCACTGGGGCTCAGGGCAGAATCCAAGGCCTGTGTTGTGCTGTCTCCTGGACTCTCAAGAGGGTGTTTCCTCACTCTCTCCCAGATCTGCTGGAGAAATCCCGAGTAGTGAAGCAGCTCAAAGGAGAAAGGAACTTCCACATCTTCTACCAGCTGCTGGCTGGAGCAGACCCACAGTTGCTAAGTACGTGTTCTTCCTGGACGCATGGCAAAGCACCCCAACCTTGTCCCATCTCCAGAACTCTAGATCTCTCTTCCTCCCTCCTCTCAAGACCCCCTCCCTCCCCATTTCTCCTTGCCTGCATTTCCCACCAGGAGCCTATGACTCCTGGTTCTGTTCTCTTCCTTTGCTGGGACGGATTCCCAGAGCTATGTCTTCACTGTCTCAGTGCTGCCCTCATCCTTGCGCCCTGCGTGGTTCTGTTGGCAGTCACACAGAAGCGGCAGGATGTACGAGTGTTAAGAGCTCCCAGGAGCTTTAGTGACAGCGCCTGGACTTAGACACCCACCTCACCTAGGAGTTTCCCAGGGTCTCTTTTTTCTTTTTGGTTTTGTTTGTTTGTTTGTTTTATTTTGTTTTTTTGAGACAAGGCTTCTCTGTGTTAAACTCATTCTGTAGAGCAGGCTAGCCTCGAACTCACAGAGATCTGCCTGCCTGTGTCTCCTGAGGGATTAGAGGCACCACCACACAGTAGTCTTCCCTGGTTTTCTTAGCTTTTAGAGGTTTCCTTCATTCATCTGTTCATGTAGCACCGCTTGAACACCTGATCGTCACTATGGTAGGGTTTAGCAATAGAGCTGAGAATGACGGACCCTATCATCAAAGAGCCAGTAGGAATGGCAGGTGTGGGGCAGACACCCTGCAGTGCAGTATGGTTGGTTCCAGCCTGTGCAGGCAGCTATAGATGAGTGGACGGCATGAATCTCCTTGCCTATCCTGGGGAAGAGTCCACAACAGCCTGAAAACTGGACTGGCCAGAGGTGGCTCCCAATGAGCATCACTGAGGGACCAGGGGGACTTTGTGTCTCTCAGCCTCCCCTCTAGCTGTGAGACTATGGATTCCTAGCCCCTAAGGAGCCCTCTCTTTGAGTCCTTGTTATTCAGTGCTTGATTTTTGCATAGCTTTTTTCTGCGGCTTGAAGTCTCTGTGGTGCGGGAGACTCCATAGATTTTGTCCTCCCCCTTCTTGACTTAATGGCCTTAATGATGTTCAATTTGTATGACTCACAGACACTGTGTTTTATTCCAGCTGGGTCCATACCTGTTAGTTTAAGTTGAGTCTGGGTGAATCTCCCTGGCGTCATTATTCCCGAGTTTTCTGACTCATTCTCTCTCTAGCTTCCCTTCTTTAGTAAGCTCCTGTTTCAGAACTTGTGTGACAGTGGGAGCTGCCACTAAAATCCAGCCTGATGTTCACTACCCTGAATCTCAGATCATTTGCATAAAATATAATTGACATGCCTCTAGTCTATGATCAGCCCAATCCTCCTATCTTAAGTAGACAACTTGGGACATTTCCTTGGTTCATTTACTAAAATGAAAAAAAAATTCCATTTACTAACCAGGTACACAGAATCTGGAGATGAAAAGCAGTCCCGACATGCAAATTACTCACTTTTGGGGAAGATAGGAAAAAAAAAATCAAACCTAGCTCTCATGATGTGGGCTGGGAGAGACACTCATTTACCTCAGGGGAATGCGAGAAAGCCATTCAGCCCAGCTGTCAGCATTAGAGAGAACCTTCCAGAGGCAGCGTCAGGGACAGAGAACAAATGCTGGATGAGCTGGCACTGCACAGGGACTTGGGGCTGGGTAGATGGGTGTTTTCCTCTCTTCCCCCACCTTCCTGCCTGAGTGGGAGAGAGGGTTTGCTTGGTTGTTTCCATTGTTTAAAGCCCCGGTGGTGGGGTAAAAATCAGTGAAACTCCTGTGAAACTCTCTAACGGGTATGAATACCCAAGCCCTAAAAACCACTTGAAAGGTAGTTTACTATCATGGAAATATATTAACCCCATCCAGAGGAGACAAGAGATGAACCTAAAACATGACCCAGGTCATGAGGCTGCTGTATTCTGGACAGCACGCGCCAGCTCTTTTCCTCTATATTTACCCTCCCAGAGGCCCTGAAGCTTGAGCAGGATGCAAGTAGCTATACCTATCTGAACGGGGCAGTGTCCCAAGTGAATGGCATGGACGATGCCTCCAACTTCAGGGCTTTACAGGTGAGTGGGGCAGGCTTGGGCCCTTAGGCCATCCTCAGAGCCCAGGGTTTGTGAAGGGAGGCGTTGGCTTGGTCCCATTAGTTCAGTTTTTTGTTTTTTGTTTTTTTTTTTTGGTTTTTCGAGACAGGGTTTCTCTGTGGCTTTGGAGCCTGTCCTGGAACTAGCTCTTGTAGACCGGGCTGGTCTTGAACTCACAGATATCCGCCTGCCTCTGCCTCCCGAGTGCTGGGATTAAAGGCTTGCGCCACCACCGCCTGGCCCGTTTGTTCAGTTTGTGAAGGGAGGCATTGGATTGGTCCCATTCCTTCAGTTCACTTCCTACTCTCTTCCCAAGAGTGCCATGTCAGTGATCGGGTTCTCGGAGGATGAGATCAGACAAGTCCTGGAGGTGACAGCGCTGGTGCTGAAGCTGGGAAACGTGAAGCTGACAGACGAGTTCCAGGCCAATGGGATACCAGCAAGTGGCATCTCTGATGGGAAAGGTTGGTGCCACCCTGCTAGAGCCTGCTCTGAGTCCCCTACCCCGAAGCTAGTTTTTGTTCCACCTCCAACGTGATTAGCGATTGACTTCACCTGGTACGCTTGCACCCAGCCACCCCTAGGTGCCCCCAAAGGGACTTCCTGAACCGTTCTCCTGAAGCACTTGGGGATGAGTCTCTGGAAATGTTCAAGCTTTGGTCTGTGACTCTCAGAGCCTTAGCCGAATCTTCTGATATACAGGGACAATCTGACCGGTTTCAGGAGATTCTCCTGGGCCAACTGCAGTGACTTACCCAGCTGAAGTCACCCAGGTCCTTCCCCCACTGAGATCCCTCGCCACCACCTCGTATTTTGTTGTCTTTCTAGGGGTTCGGGAGATTGGGGAGTTGATGGGTTTGAATTCGGTGGAACTAGAGAGAGCTTTGTGTTCAAGAACCATGGAGACAGCCAAAGAAAAGGTGGTCACAGTTCTGAATGTCACGCAGGTAAGAGCCCTCTTGAAGGCCCTGACTTTTGAGGCTGTCCTGTGGCTGCCACATTAATGAGATTGTGTCCCACACCCCAGGCTCAATACGCTCGGGATGCCCTGGCTAAGAATGTCTACAGCCGCCTCTTCGACTGGATAGTGGGCCGCATCAATGAGAGCATCAAGGTGAGAGAGGCCTATCCCAAAGCCTGCTTCCCTGAGCTTCTTGTCCTGGCTGCCAGTTCCATTCTCTGGTTTCTGAGATGCACAGAGAACAGGAAGAGGAAGGTACACTTCCTTCTAGAAGTTTGAGTCCCACAGTCTGGTCTTTCACCTTTGCAAAGATATTGAGCCTCAGTTTCCCAATTTGGCTGCAGCCGCTAACTACTATGAATGTCTGCCTGCTTCCCAAGGGTTTTCTGCAGATCAGAATATACACGGTTGCCGTGTGATTCGGAAATTCCAGTCACATCAATACAGATGATGTAATCCAATTCATGGCTGAATAAAAGCCATACTGTGTATACACCCTGCATTTCTTTACCACCTCTACAGTGCAGTGTTTCTCAACCTGTGGGACGTGTCCTCTTCGGGGGTTGAAGGACCTTTTCACAGGGGTTGAAGGACCTTTTCACAGGGGTTGCCTAAGACCATTAGAAAACACAGGTGTGGGAGCTAGAGAGATGGCTCAGTGGTTAAGAGCACTGACTCTTTTTCCAGAATTCCTGAGTTCAATTCCCAGCAACCACATGGTGGCTCACAACCATCTATAATAAGATCTGGTGCCCTCTTCAGGGGTGCACATACACATGCAGGCAGTGTACTGTATTCATAATAAATAAAGAAATAAATCTTTAAAAAAAGAAAACCAGGTGTTTACATTATGATTCATAACAGTATTAAAATTACAGTTATGAAGTAGCAATGAAAATAATGTTGGGGGTCACCACGATACAAGGAACTGTATAACAGGGCCTTCGTTTTAGGAAGGCTGAGAGACCCACTATTCTAAGAGCATCTAATGTCATGGGAACTGTTAGCACCTTCCCCTCCATCCTCCCTCTCCAGCCCGGTCAAGCTGCAGCTCTCTTTGCCCCTGCTCTGATCCTGTCTACCTGCTGTGCTCAGGGGGCTTCCTCTTATTTGTCCTCCCTCTCCTCCAGGTGAGCACTGAGGAGAAGAGGAAGGTTATGGGAGTTCTGGATATCTACGGATTTGAGATTCTGGAGGTGAGAGAGCACCATCCGACCTCAGCGGCCTGCTTCCCCGCTTAGGGGACCGGCTCAGGGTGGGCAGGAGAGGCTGTGAGGGAGGAAGGGTCTGAGGTGAGCCGGCCTCTTTTCCCTCACAGGATAACAGTTTTGAGCAGTTCGTGATCAACTACTGCAACGAGAAGCTGCAGCAGGTGTTCATAGAGCTGACCTTGAAGGAGGAACAAGAGGAGTACAAGAGAGAGGTGAGCCCAGCCTCCTGCTTGCTCTGCTGAGGGACTTCCAGATGCGAGCCTTTCTTCTCGTCACAATTTCCTTCTAATTGTCCCCAGATGGAAACACAAAGGACACAATGTTTCCCTCTCACAGCTGAGCGTTCAGCGTTTCTAACTTGCCCCAACAGTCCACTTCCCTTCTTCCTGTCCCCAGCCTTCTGCTCCAGGCCAGTTCAGAAAGGGTGTTTGTGTGGAGAGTCCTGGTCGGAGGGCCTGGCACCCTTCATATACCTTCCTGCTCCCTCTCAAACATGTCAGAACCTTTGCCTTCCCTGGGGCGCTGGGTGATGTTGCTGTCCGCTATTAGAGATGCATGATTCTGGACTTACTCACCAGAAGTGCCCTGCGGAGCCAGATTTCCACACCCCTCCTCTGACTCGCATAACCCCTGCAACCATGACTAGGTGTTAAAAAATCTCTCTGAGCAAGCCAATCCACTTCCAAGGGTGAGCAGCCCAGCGTCTCGCTCATTAAACCCTTCCAGAGTCGTTCCCTGCTATGTTCCCTGCGAGCGCGATCGAGAGCTGGTCTCTGCAACAGGGCTGATGGCAACATTGTGACAAAATGTATTGTTTCACGAATTTTTTTTGTTTTAACAACTTCAGTGCTTAAAGATGATACATTTCTATATTTCAAAATTCAAAAACTTTAAAAGGTAGATGAATAAAAATTTCCTTTCGCCTCTGCCCCTAAACTCTCAATTTTCTTCCCCACAAAGACCAGAAGGTCTTTTTCCTATTTACATGCAAATATGTAAATGGACTTTTTAAAAATATATAAAACATACACAAAAGCTAGCAAATATGCTCTGTTCTGTACATCTTTGCTTGGCTGTGTGGTATTGCAGGATGCCATATTGCATTTAGCCCATTGGGAAAGGTACTTTGGGAAGCAGTAGGAAGTCAACTTCACTTAGGTTCAGTCTCTTTTCTCTAAGAGAAAAGAGGGGAAGGCTTGTGCGCCATAGCCTACGTTTGGGTTGTCTGGTCCTTGGGAGGGATTATGACATAACCTCCTGTAATCCTGATGTTCGCTGAGAGCGCAAAGCAGAGAGCAATCCTCCCTTTCTAGTGGAGGTCAGAGGCCAGCCCGGAGAAGCTGATGCTCTCCACCAAGCATGTGGGACCTGGGCATTGAACTCAGGTCGGCAGGCTTGGCAGCAGGCACACTTATCCGCTGAGACATCTCAGCCCTGAAGTGTGGTCCGGGGCCAGAAGCAAACCACCACTGGGGACAGGTTGGAAATATCAGTTCCTGGGCGCATCCCAAACAACTCCGAGTTGGAAACAGTGTAGCAGAAGGAGCAGTCTGTGTTTTAGCAAGTGTGTGGTGGGCGCTGTGGAACTAAAACCACAGGTGTGGATCTTTGAAGATGCATCAGATTGGCTTTGTTGCTGGGTAACAGTCCTGGTTCACGCTGTTGAGACCCGTTGATCATGTCAGAGCGCGGTAGCCTCTTTTCCTCATGTGCACGGCCCCTTCTCTACCCCACACTTGGGTGAGCTCTGTCCCACCCTACACCTGACAGTCATGCTCCCTCCCAGCCCGCACCATCTCCGGGTATTTGTCTTTGTCTCACCTTCTCCTACAGGTGCTCTGGTTTCTCCTGTGTGTCTGCCCACTCCCTGAGACACATACACGAATTCACCACCAACCTGGGAGGGGTGGGTTATAAACTGAACCCAACCGAGGTTGTCCCTGAGTGACAGGCCTTTCTGGAGTCCTTTTTACAGTGGGTTAGAGGGAGCCTGGGTCTGGCGAGGACTTTAGAGGTTCTCTGGGACTTGCTTCTGTGACTGATGTCTCCCTTTGCCAGGGCATACCGTGGACCAAGGTGGACTACTTTGACAATGGCATCATCTGTAACCTCATTGAGCATGTGAGCAGCTGTCCTCTCAGCTCTGGGACCCCCCTTTCCAGACTTCCTGAGCATCCTCCCTTCCCCGAGCCTGGCGAGGATGAGAGGGTTGGGAGGAGCGGGTCAAGCTCACCTGGATCTTGTTGCCATGACCCAGAGTCAGCGAGGCATCCTGGCCATGCTGGATGAGGAGTGCCTGAGGCCTGGGGTGGTCAGCGACTCCACTTTCCTGGCAAAGCTGAACCAGCTCTTCTCGAAGCACAGTCACTATGAGAGCAAAGTCACTCAGAATGCCCAGCGCCAGTACGACCATTCCATGGGGCTCAGCTGCTTCCGCATCTCCCACTATGCGGGCAAGGTACTGCAGTGAGGCTGCGTGGGAGGCAAGGGCAGAAGTGGGTGTGGAAGTGGGAACTGAGACAGGGAGGTCCAGGAGCTGGAAGGAGGCGTGGGGTCTGAACCTACATCTGCCCCTCTGTAGGTGACTTACAACGTGAACGGCTTCATCGACAAGAATAACGACCTGCTCTTCCGAGACCTATCCCAGACCATGTGGAAGGCCCAGCATCCTCTCCTTCGGTCCTTGTTCCCAGAGGGTAATCCCAAGGAAGCGTCTCGCAAACGTCCCCCGACTGCTGGGTCACAGTTTAAGAATTCTGTGGCCGTACTCATGAAGAACCTGTACTCTAAGAACCCCAACTATATCAGGTGAATAGCTGGGCGCACAGGGGAGCATCCTCAAGGTGGTGTGGGATCTGTGCCTGGTAGGACATGCCTGTATCGGGGAGTCAGTCTCTGGAACAGGCTCTTTCTCCATGGAACACAGGACCAGATGAGGAGCTAGCTGGGCACTCTATGGCCGACAGAGTGGCATCAGGGGAGAGTGAAACTGGGGAGGCCAAGAGCGTCTCCCTTACACTTCTACTGAAAATCCCATCTCAGGGTTTGGGGAGTAGGCACAGGAACACCAGGGCAGTGCCACCTGCGTGGAGTTTGCTCCTGAGCCTGCTTCTTCCCGACTTCCTTCCAGGTGCATAAAGCCCAACGACCTGCAACAGTACGGCAGGTTTTCCCCAGAGCTGGTTGTGGTCCAGGTTCGATACCTGGGGCTGCTGGAGAATGTTCGGGTGCGTAGGGCTGGCTATGCCCACCGCCAACTCTACAGGCCTTTCTTTGAAAGGTACCGACTGCTGAGCAGGAGCACCTGGCCTCACTGGAATGGGGGAGACCGGTAAGACCCAGTGGGGATAAAGGGGCTGGGCCTCAGAGGGCTGGGGAGATGTGGAAGGGGATTCTGCCTGGCGTACCTCACCTGCAGCTCTCCCCCATCTGCCCCTGTAGGGAAGGTGTGGAGAAGGTCCTGGAGTCTGTGGCTGTGTCCTCAGAGGAGCTGGCCTATGGGAAGACAAAGATCTTTATCAGAAGTCCCAAGACTGTGAGCCAGGAAGCTGGGGGGCTGCACTTGGTGGGGGTAGAATGGAGCTAGAAAGAGGCTAGCAGGGAAGGCAGCGACCAGTGCAGGACCAGATGGTGCAGAGGAGGGTGCCACCCTGGGAACTGAGGGTTGACCTCTCCTGCCCTGAGCTAGGAGTTCATCCCGGGGCCTGGCCTGGTTGTAGGAGGCAGGCTGGGGAGCTTCAGTTCCCTGTCGTGCAAGGGAGAGCAAACCCTTCTTTGCCCCCACCCCAGCTTTTCTACTTGGAGGAACAAAGGCGCCTGAAGATCCAGCAGCTGGCCACGCTCATCCAGAAGGTGTACCGGGGCTGGCGCTGCCGGACGCACTACCAGCAGATGCGCAAAAGTCAGATCCTCATCTCCGCTTGGTTCCGGGGCAACAAGGTGCCACGTCCCTTCCCATGTGTCGCGGGGACCTGTGGTTTAGGGTGTGGCCTCTTCTAACAGTGCTCATGTTTCCACAGCAAAGGAAGCATTACGGGAAGATAAAGGCCTCAACACTGTTGATCCAGGCTTTCGTGAGAGGGTGGAAGGTAACCAAGGGCAGAGGGGGCCTGTTGGGTTATGCACCAGGCTGTGACACTGAGACCGCCCTCCTACTCTGGCCCAGCTGGCTGTGGGTGTGTGTTCGTCCGGGAGACTGGCCTGGGTGTGTCTCCACCTTCGAATCATTTTTCCTGTTTCAGTCTCAGCCCGGCGTTTGTTTATTTAGATATTTCTGACTGCACTTTGGTTGAAAGCAAATAGCAGAACCTCTCCTAGACTCTGCCTCATGCTGACATCTTCCTCGCACTTCCCTTCTAGGCCCGCAAGAATTATCGAAAATACTTCCGGTCAGGCGCTGCCCGCACCTTGTCCAACTTTATCTATAAGAGCATGGTAAGTGCTGGGGCGAAGGTGCCAGGCGGGCAGAGGAGTTGGGACAGCCTTGGGAGAGGATGGGGAGGAGTGGAAGAGTTGGGACAGCCTTGGGAGAGGATGGGGAGGAGTGGAAGAGTTGGGACAGCCTTGGGAGAGGATGGGGAGGGGCTTGATTCCAAGCCTTCCCTAGGAGCATCTTCACTCCATGAGACAGAGAGTAGTCACACACTGGGACTGGGTGTCCTAACCGGAGCCGCATCAGGCATCCCTTGGCTCAGGTAGATGCTGTTTGCATCCTGTGCCAGTGTGGGGTCCTGGTACTCTCATCTGAGCAGAGGACACATAGACCTGGGGAGAGACCGACTTGGGGGTGGGGGGTGGGAAGATGGGGGGTGGTAGCTTTCTTATGGAAGTGGATGATGAGGACACAGGATTAACTAGCCTGACTGCTAAGATCCATTTTGAGGTAGAAGGAATCACATCTCCTCTGAACCCCCAGGCAAATGAGGAGGGCCATCTCTGGGTCTGACGGAAGGAGGCCTCCAGCTAGGGATGGCTTCCAACAGGACTGTTAGGTAGTGGGGACATTTCCCAGAGGATACTGGAAAGCCACAGAGAGAACAGTACCCCAGTGAAGCCTTGGGAAAAAGCCAGACAAGATGGGAGCCTAGGGACCTCAGCCTAAGGGTTGCAGGAAGGTGGGACTGACCCGAGGTGACTGCTGTTTGCTAGTTTTTAGGACCCTCACCAAGTATGCTCGGTTGAGCGTGAAGGGTCTTCATTTGGAACTCCTCTCTGTCGTGCTAAAGCCTGGACTGCTTGACTGCTTGACTGGGAGGGGTGGGAGTGCTGAGCTGAGGCGTCCTGGCATCCTCTGGCTTTCTTCCCTCCCCCCCCCCCAGCCCCGTGCTAGCCTGGCCTGTTGGGCTGGCTCTGCCATGTCCTGTCCCTCCCACAGTACGTGCTGTCTCGCTGGACACCTGAGGGCTGCGACCTGACTTTGCACTTACCCCCAACAGTCCCTTCTTTCAGCCTTTCACCTGTACCTTGTCAGGCAGCTGCTGAACATCAAGCCAGGACTGCGTGGTTCAATAAATCACACCCAAGAGTCCTGGGTCACTGATTCTCCCAAAGCTCCTGGCACTTTGCCGTGGTCTTTAATCTAGCGCCATTACCTGACAATATGCTACGTATACTCTTTCCAATTCTTCTAACAGCCCTGTCATGTAGACCCTCTGCTTTCCCCAACCTCACAGGTTAAAAAACTAAAACTCAGGCCAGATGTGGTGGTATACACCTTTAATTCCAGCACTTGGGAGGTGGAAGCAGGCAAATCTCTGTGAGTTGGAGGTCTGCTAGGTCTACACAGCAAAGTGCCAGGCCAGGCAGAGCTACGTAGTGACTCGGTGAGATCCTATCTCAAAAAAAAAAAAAAACAACAACAAAACAAAAAAACAAAAACAAGCTATGGCTTAGGAAGACTGATAATTTGCCCCCAGCCCCAGGCCCTGGAGCTGATAAGTGGTAGAGTTGGTTGTGAAGCGTTTGATTGCCGAGCTTCCAGCCACTGCCTAAGATTGTCCACCTAACGGAAGTTTTGGCAGCCCATGGCTCTAGGCAGGTTAGACTCTGGAGATCTAAAAAAGGCAAGCACTGGGCGCCTCTGCCCTGGCTAGGAGGGTGGTGTGGAGACCCTGGAGCATCTGGGAGGGCTTCAAGCTGCAGCTCACACACTGCACGGAATCCTGGTGGGCAGAGTCCAGCTGTCAGATCAGCGAGAAGTAGGCCGAGTGCCAACAGCCTCGAGAGCACAAAGGTGGAGGGGCTGTGGCAAGGAGCCTTTCTGGTTGGAATACTGGGAGGCCAGGGGTTCTGTGACAGGACTGTGAACGTCAGGCTGAGGTGTCAGGCACCATTGATTAGAGAGGAGGGCAGATTTGGCATCTGTCCAATAACCAGCACAGACAATGGCCCCAGCTGTAGGTCATTGTGACCTGAGAGATGAAAAAGCCGGGGAACAGTACACAGAGACCAGCTTTGACGCTGGATCGCCCCACCTCCCTGACCCAGGTGTCAGGTCCTGCTGCTTCCCATTTCTGTTCTTAACCCCAGCCCCAGAGCACAGTGCGCACCCACCGACAGAGAGGCAATTCTGTCTACCTCCCCAGCTTTGCTCCTGCTCCTCACAAGGGTGTGGCTTTCCTCTTGAGTGGCAGGACCTGGGTGTGAATCCACCTGCCTGAAAGTGGCTCTTCCCCTGACTTCATTCCTAAGACTCTGCTTTCAACGCAGGCACTGAAATTTCTCTTGACTCTGAAGAAGAATTTGCCATCCACCAAAGTCTTGGATGACACATGGCCCCCTGCCCCTTATAGGTACTTCAACAGGGCCAATCAGGAGCTGAAGCGCATCTTCCACCAGTGGAAGGTGAGGTCAGGCGTCCCTTCTCTATTGTGACCCACCCCTTATTTTCCTCCTCGCCCCTTTACTCTCACTGTGGTAAAATATGCAAAGTTGTGTCTGTTATGTTCCCATTTCTAAGCGTCAGAGTTTCGGCAACAAGTATGTTCAGGCTATTGCAGGGCCATTGCCACCCATCTTTATACTTTTGTTCTTTGCCCTTTAGCCCTGACCTCCTTCCCCGTAACCAATACTTTACTTTCTGTTTCACTGGCTTTTGCTTTTGGAGGAAACTCCTCTAAGTGGCAACCACACAATATCTGTCCTTTATGTGTCCCACTTCCTTCACATCATAGTATGATCTGTTCTTTTATCCAGAACATACCATAGGACGCCCATGTAGGCTCAGCCTGGTCCTTAGGATGCTCATGTGGGCTCAGCCCGGTCCTTAGGGTGCCTTTGCGGGCTCAGCCTGGTCCTTAGGGTGCCCACGTGGGCTCAGCCTGGTCCTTAGGATGCCCGCGTGGGCTCAGCCTGGTCCTTAGGGCGCCCACGTGGGCTCAGCCTGGTCCTTAGGACGCCCGTGGAGGCTCAGCCTGGTCCTTAGGACGCCTGTGTGGGCTCAGCCTGGTCCTTAGGACGCCTGTGTGGGCTCAGCCTGGTCCTGAGTGCTGGCTGTGCTTTCATGGGTCTTGCATTTGCTAGTGTCCACTTTCTCATAAACACCCCTCAATTTCCTGCGTCCTCACTAGTCCTCCAGGTCCTTTTCCTGTGTCTGGTCTCTGTCATCTCCCCTCCAGCCCTCTGCTCCCCATGGTCTCTGTCATGTCTCCTCCAACCCTCTGCTCCCTGTGGTCTCTGTCATCTCCCCTCTAGCCTTCTGCTCCCCGTGGGTTCTCTTGCCCCCTTTGCTCACTTCCCTCCTTTACCCCGCCTTCCACTTCCACAATCTGAGCTTTCTCCTCCTCACAGTGCAAGAAGTTCCGAGATCAGCTGTCACCGAAGCAGGTGCAGATGCTGAGGGAAAAGCTCTGTGCCAGCGAACTGTTAAAGAGCAAGAAGGCTTCCTACCCTCAGAGGTGAGAGATGCGGCCTCTCAAGCTTGAGTTGCCTGGGAGGACTGGAGACACCTAGCTGGGCCCTCCTTAAAGGCTCTGACCCAGCAGGTGTTGGTCCCGGACTTATCAATGGATCGCTGAAACAAGATTTGGTAGAAGAGGGGGCGTGGCACTCAGGGAGGTGACCTGGGACTTGGTCTCACTGCACGCCTCTCTTATGTCCTCAGTGTCCCGATTCCATACCGTGGTGATTACGTTGGGCTGCAGGGGAACCCCAAGCTGCAGAAACTGAAGGGTAAGGAGGAAGGGCCTGTTCTGATGGCGGACACTGTGAAGAAGGTCAACCGTGGCAATGGCAAGGTAAAGGGCCACTGCACCCACGGTGGGAAATGGCCTGGGGCTGGCTGCGCATGCTTTGCCCAGTGGGTGGGGCGGGTGGCAATGCCAGTCCTCACTATTTCCTACACCCTCTCTAGACATCTGCCCGGATTCTCCTCCTCACCAAGGGGCATGTGATTCTCACAGATGCCAAGAAGTCCCAGGCCCAAATTGTCGTTGGGCTGGAGAATGTGGCTGGGGTGTCAGTCACCAGCTTCCGGGATGGGCTCTTCAGTTTGCACCTGAGTGAGGTATCTAAGCTGTGTCGGCAGTGTCTCCAGAGTGGGCCTCCCGGGGCCGAGGGGAACTGGATATACTAGAACTGAACCTCTCACTATGGGTCTTTGATGCCCCTCAGGCTGCTCCTAAGGAAAAACATTAATCTCTACTACTTTTTTCTCTCTTGCTCAGATGTCATCGGCAGACTCCAAGGGGGACATCCTCTTGGTCAGTGACCATGTGGTTGAACTGCTGGCAAAAATGTACCAAGCTGTGCTGGATGCCACGCAGAGGCAACTCTCTGTCACCGTGACTGAGAAGTAAGGCCATGAGCTGGGGATGAGGGACGGCTTGGGACAGATGACTGGACTACTGGTCACTGTGACCGGGAAATTTGTGTAATCAGAAACCAAAGCAGACTGTGTCAGGGCAAGGCTCGGAGGTTTTTCTTAGTGTTATCCACACCTCCCTCCCCTCAGCCCTGAACTCTCTGCACCAAGTTTCTCTCAGGTCTTTAGTCATCGGGTGGGTGGGGATGAGCTGTGTGTTTGCTCCAGGGAGAGGAGGCCATCTAGAAGAGTCGAGCTGAGAGGCGGAGGCCCCAGCTTCATTTTCTCTGTCTCTTCTCCCTCCAGGTTCTCAGTGAGGTTCAAGGACAGCAGTGTGGCTGTCAAGGTTATCCAGGGTCCTGAGGGGGCTGGGAACAGCAAGCTGACTTTCAAGAAGAAAGGAAGTCATGCCATGGAGGTGACTGTGAGGTGATTACATTGGAGCCTCCTGGAGACACAGCTTCTCCCTCTGGACCAAAACTTTGGCCTAGCTCTTCTGATCGTGAGAAGGGGCTTAGAGTTGAAGAACCCTTGAAAACGGCCTTTCTGTTCCTGGACCTTTCCAGAATCCTTTCCCAAACATAGCATCCTCCCAGCGTCAGTCCGGACGTACACCCACTAATAAATCACGCGCTTCAGAAAGGTCTTGGCGGTGTTGGCGGGTCCGTGTTTACTCACCTCCTTGGCATCATTTGCTTGACTCTTTGATTTTTTTTACCCAGTCATACTTGGACCCTCCACCTCCATTCCCCCATGCCATGTGTCCCTTAGGCTCATGGGAACCAGATAGTACAGACAATGAAGAAAAGAAGGGGAATTGTCTCCAGCCTCCTTGACCGGCTGAGCTCCAGCGGAGTTTAGAGAGCCTGGGGAAGAGTCCCCAGTAGGGCTCAGGTCGCAGGTGGCCAATGCGCTGATTCATTAAGTGTGTCCCTGGGGGAGATGAAGACGCCTGCCTTGGAGATGAGGCTCCTTGCAGATGGGAAAAGCAGCCTAAGGCTGCCGGGTTCGTGCGAGCTGAGGCAAACTGGGTATGGTGGGACCTTGCTCCCAGGATCTCTGGCACCCTCTACCCCAGAGACGGGCTGTATCACACCTGCCTCCCTGGAGCCCTCTTCCTCTCCATGCCTCTGAGATGCCAAGCTGCTGCCAGGCACTCTCCCACAGCTGGCAGCCCTCAGCAGGGCAGACTCACTGATCAGACCTGCTCATCTCTAGAACTAACCCTTTCCCTCTTTTCTTCACCGTGATCATTTTCCCAGGCTCGGACTGTGTTATGCCATCTCGCTGTCTCGGTTTGTGTGGGCTTTGACGGTGTTACTCTGTAATATCTTTTAGAAATTTCCCACTGTTCTTCATCCTTCTTTCCTCAGAGACGGTCTTGTCTCTCCACCCTGTTCTATCTTTGGGGAACATGCTGCACATAGCTATGAAATTTGGATCTGTACCCAGGGAGAGATTAGGAAGGGCTGCCATTGTTCCCGTCTCCCCTTGTCTCTTCCTCCTCTCACCATCTCCACCCTCCCTGCCTCCTTCCCTGCCTCCTCCACCGAGCTCTGAGCCTGGGTCCCTTACAGCTTCCATTGGTAGGCAGCTCACGGGCCCAAGTAATCATGCTGGCAGGGAGACCTGATTAACTATCCTTCCTGCCTGCAGATTAATATCTCTCTCTCTCTCTCTCTCTCTCTCTCTATCTCTCTCTTTCTCTCTCCCTCTTTCTCTCCCCCCAGACTGGAGCTAGAGCCTGTCCTGTCGGAGCTAGGGCTGGAGGACGGGTAGCTCAGGCTCTGGCTAGCCCGCTAGCCTCCCACTCCCCAGATGACAGCTCCAACCTTGACTTCTCAGAATCAGAAGATCCTGTCTGGCTGGGAGTGGGTGATGACCTGAGCCTGATCGCCCCCGCTCTCCGCCTCATCTCCTGCTCCCAGGGCCCAAATTGTCGTCACTTTCCCAGTGAAGTGTCTGGTCATTTTCAGAAGCAATTTCAGGAGAAAATGCAGCTGCTGCTCTCAATCCTGCTTTTCTTCTCCCAGGGCTGAGGGAGCTGCCAGCTCTCTGGGTGGGGGCGGGGATGTTGATGGATACTAGTTCAAGGATGGGTGGGGCTCATCGCCCCCCTCCCATCTTCCCCTGCCTCCTCTCTGCTGTCTTTGCCTTTCCTTTCTTCTGGAGCCCAGGGTCCTGATGTCTATAGGCCCCCATTTTCTTACCCATGGATTTCCCACACATGGAAAAGGACTGGAAGTGACTATTTCACCGTGGGAATCAGTTCTGCCATCGGTCCTGCCCCAGCACATTCAGTGACTCTCAAAGTGTAGGCTGCTTCAACCTCTGAGGGCCACAGGCTATTGGGGATCACCCTGACGACCCCCACTGAGGACCCATTCAAGGGCCTCAGGGCTGGCTTAATCCAGCTCTGACTCAGCCCAGGCTCTTCCAAGTCCTCAGGGCTTCTTCCTAGTTCTGGCTGCAGGTACTGACTGACAGAGAACTATCAGCCCTCTGTCTGGTGTCACACAGGGCCCAGCTCCCCCTCACCCAGGGAGTCCACAGTTGAGTATACGAAGTACACGTTGTCTTGTGCACACAAGCATGTGCGCCTGGAGAACGGCCATCTAACTTGTCTCACCTCCGTACAACTGAGCATACACGCACACGTGCATATAGGGGGGTCTAGTGGGGTCAGGGATGGGGTACCTGCTGCTACAGACTCGGACTTTATGACTGTCTTCTCTGTGGAGACAGCATCTGAGATGCGCCTCAAATAAATGTACAAAGAAAAAACAAACAGAAAACTATAGCTTAATAGCAGCTCCATAGCAGAAACAGACACTGTACGTATCATTTACGTACGATTTGTGGGCAAACGAAGCTGCCTGTTCCACCTCCTCATGCCTCCCTCCTACATCACCTCTCTAACTCGGGTCAGCATCCACCCTTTCAAGTCTTTGCTAATCTCAGAGATCAAGGGTGATCAGCTCCCTCCCAGCCTCGACTCCTGCCATCCTCTGTGAGATACAGCATCATCAAAGGACATTATTCATGGTGGGACCTTTGCTGAAGCTCTGCTTCCCTGATGTCAGGGCTTGGGGATGGGGTGACTGTGTTGGGGGGAGGGGCTGACAGAACCGGGGCCACCAGGCATTTGGTCCTCAGCTTTTGAACTCACCTGCTCCTGCACAGCCAACTCCCTTGGTCTGCCCAGCTAGGTCTTCTGTCTCTAGGATGCTGTAGATTGGAGAGGAGGAGGAAGGAGCCATCTAGGTTAGGTCCAGTCGGAAGCAACCACTGGGCTTCTTGGAGGAATGATTGTGTTATGCCATTTGCATGTAAATGCCTCCCACTTCTGTCCCTCACCCCACCAAATGGTCGAAGCTCTGGGTGCTGGCCCATGCTGTTTGCATACACAGCACTGCAATTAACTAGGTAATGAGAAACTTTTAATGAGGCCCCGTTAGCCTCTCCTATCGTAAAGAGACCTTGATGCCCAGCTGCTACCCACATTCTGGGGTGAACACGGGGCCAGGGTGGCCTTCTATCAATATGACCCAAGTCCCAGGGCATGTGGAATGGGGACAAAGGACTTCAGGACCCTGTTAGTGCTAGAAGTGTTCATATTTGGGGGTAGAAATTTACAAAAGACAAAACAAAACAACCAACCAAACAAAAAACCTTGGCTCTGGCTTCCTTTTCCATAAATTTTTATTGAGCATCTGTGATATGCCAAATACTGTAGGGTGAGGAATACAATAACAGACAAAACTCTTGTCCTTGAGATGCTTAGGAGGGCTGGTGTATTTGACAGAGAAATAAACTCTCAGCATGTTGGGTCTAAGTGCTGGAGGAAGGGGGTGGGGGGGACAGAGTGGGAGCAATCTTAAGTAGGGTGACTGGAGGAGTCTGTGGGGAAGAGGGGCACACACAACTAACTCTCTTCTCATCCCAGAACATAAAAGGGTTCAAGTTTCCAAATCTCTGAGACTCGGAAAGATGTTCCTCTGTGCCCTCTGGAAGAGCAAGTGGTTTCCCTCGAAGGTCAACATGCCAATACAGGGGGAAAAAAAATGAGAGATTTAGCCTGGTCGTGGCTAAATTAGTACTGAGTAATCTCAGTACTCGGGAGGAAAAGGCAGGCGGGTCTCTGTGTGTTCAAAGCCAGCCTGATCTACAAAACAAGTTTCAGAACAGTCAGAGCGATTACACAGAGAAACCCTGTATCCAAACAAACAACAGAGAGATTTGGAGTAAGAAGAGCCAGATTTTTGTATATGCTAGATCAAGTCACCAAACCTCCCTGAACTCAGTTTCCTAATCAGAAAAATGGGAATATTTCTTGTTTCTATTGTGGAGGCAAGGAAACTCAAATCCCACGGCATATTTAAGCTCCACACCCTGAGGCCAGATCCCAGCTGCCACTTTCGCTGGTCCTCTCTGAGTTCTAATTCCGATCCTTGCTCTCCTCCCCTGACTCTGTCCTGGGCTAAGAAACCACAGAAAAGCCCCTCATCTGTGTGGGATGTCAACAAGGGCTGGAAGGGTCAGAGAAGATGTCTGAACTTTGAGGGAAAAGGGAGGCAGTTAGGTGAGCAGCGTTGCAAGCCAAGCAAGGTGAGGAGGGATGAGCAGTCCTGGTGAACTGGGCTGCAGGAGGAAGGGTGGAAGCCAGAGGCCCCGGTGCAGTCAGGGAGGCAAAGGTGGGCAGAGGAGGGTCTCCATCCTCAGTCCAGCAGCCCTGCTTCTCCCTTGGGGTAAGGACTGGGAGGAGGGCAGAAGGAACTAGATTCACCCTCAGTCTTGGAGTGGGGCCTCAGCCCCAGCTGCCGTGATGGTGGCAGGGGCAGAAAGACACCTGTCTGAGCTGTTCCAGGCTGTAGTCCAGCTCGGAGGATAAAGGAAGAGGAGCTGGCGAGTTCTGAGAAAAAAAGGTCCAGGAGACACACCTACTGAGCTCGACCTGTCATGCAATCCTGTGAGAGGTCACATACAACGACATTCCTTTGAGTGCCTGCCTTGGTTGCCTTTGGAAAGTGGGCTGCAGGACAAGTGTGTGTGTGTGTGTGTGTGTGTGTGTGTGTGTGTGTGTGTGTGCGCTTGCGTGTCTGGGTGTGTGACAGCAGCTTGCATCCTCTCCCTACCAGCTTTCCTCCTCCCCTCCAGCCACCCTGGGATTGGTGACTCTCAGCCCCTCCCCTCGGCTCCCCCAAACCCTCCCAGAACCTTTATCAGGGAGCTGGGACTGGTCCCTGCCACCTTCCAGAGCCCTGCGCTCTTGCGCTCTTGCGTCTCTCTCTGCAGCAGCACCAACTGGCTCCCTGATCCTGCCATCCAGCCAGCTCCACAGGTAGGTTTTGGGTAGTGCGGTGGACTGCAGCTGGCCCCAGGATGATGGGCTTAGAACCAGAGGGGAAAAAGGGAGAGGGCAGCCTCTGATAGGCAAGTAGGGTACCAGGAAGGCATCAGAAAGGGCCTGAGGATGGAGAGCTATTAATGTTTGGCATCTGGGGCCAGAATCAAGACTGATTCTTACAGGTTAGAAAGTTTTTCTCTAAGTCTCGGGGTTATCTAGTACTACAAGACGGTATCCAGGGTCTCTTCTCATGCTAACTGAAGAAACAGACCAGTGCACGTCCTGTGAATATA